TGTTTGCATAAGCCGAACTGAATTTGAAATTTTTCGCCAGATTTACAAAAGTTTCAGAAAGGCTGATTTTCTTTGTACTCACGTGCGTACACTGATCACCTGTAAACTGCAAAGGGTGTTCCCAAGACAGCTCATTTGCATTTAGCGACGCCCACAAAACTCCATAAAGGGTAAAGTGCACAGACAGCTGGGAGCACGAAATGAACGATCAGGGTAAAGACTGAAAAAAGAAATGGAGGTTATTTTGATTCACTTCTATGCCAATAAAAATACTGAATAATATTAATAATAATAAGCGAGCGCTAAATTTTCATTTTCTCACTTTCTTTCTTTCTTTTTTTGCTTTAAACTAATGCCAGTAATATGAAATGACTGGTTTTCACATAATGTTCTCGGTGGTACTCTTAGTCCCTGACCGAGTGAACTAGCATGAGGAGGTGTTTTTGGATAAGGGCGTCTGCTAAACGCTGTAAACGTAATAAAAATAAGCAATTTAAACTCGACAGTATAACCCAGATAAAGAAGTGCAGTAATCCATGCTATGATTTGACCTTGATCAAGTCGAGGTTTACATTAGTTAGTCTTCTTATGCATAAATTTACACACACTCAGGAACCCGAGTAGGATATGAATGTTTGTCCGAATTTTCATGAATACCAAATTTCTTATGCAAACGTTCGTACTAGCGATTTACAAATAAATCCATCCAGGTCATTTTTGCATTGCATGCTTTCCTTAATAAAGACACTAAAATCATTTTAACACACTGAAACCTTTTTTTCTGAGGGAAAAAGTGTAATAATTTGTTAATTCACGGTTTTGTAATGCAGTTCCTGGTAAAGAACATTGTCACATATTCAAATTTCAAACATCAGTGATTCTTTTGCCATTCTTTATTTTTTCTTTATTGTCTGCGAGTTTAAGAAGTTGTTGTTTTTTTTTTTTTGCTCGTTTAGGGTCTAAAGGTCTGAGTGCACAACCAAGCGCTGTTTTGTATTTTATCAGCTATTCGAAACAAATCCGATTTTTCAAATTTTCCTAGTTTGAGTGCAACGAAGAACTATATTACATTGTTATATTACATTATATTACATAGCGTTTAACAGCTGTATATATTCGGTTATGCACTCAGAGTGTTGGACCATTTTCATATTTATGTCTGTTTTTTTTTTTTTTTTTTTTTTCAGACATCGGTTTGCTTTTATACAGACAGTCAGAGGACATTACTAATTCTCCTGACATCATAACATTCATTCATCTAAAAAAACAGTGCTAGAGGACTAAAACACAGAGTGTAAAAAGGCAGCTTGATTTTTTAATATGGCTAGATTTCATTATTTTCACCAAAAACACAAAATCTGCACCGATAATCGTTATATGATATACTGTGATAATCTCCAAGGACAGGGTTTTTTGCATGGACGCTATCCCCATGGAGGAGTCTGCCTAAGTAGCTCATGTCTTCGGAGGACCTTCAAGGCAATCCCATAACCCATAATGATGATATTAAAGTTCAGCACACACTTTAGATCCATACTAAGATGGATTCTGAATCATAAATCAGTGTTTAGACTGTGTTACTGTGTTGTATTTTGGTGTTTTCACAAGATTCGATAATCGGTACATCATCTTTGTTTCAACATTATTTTGTAAAAATCGGAAAATTGTCGATGGTTTCATTACAGGTTCATTCTCAAACTGTGCTCTATGCACTCTATTCTCAAACTATACACTTTGTTCTCGACTATCTAATACCTGGGTGTTTGACGAATAAGTAACCGAACGCTAACATTTAGTGCTAAACAGAAATAGATCATTGAGAAAAAAAACAACAAAAAAAACAAGATGGCTGGCCAAAAATCTTCCCTCCTAATTTGTGTCTGTTTTGTTGCAACAGTCTTGCTCAGTGCGTTCTCCGGCATTTTGAAAGCCCTCTATTTTCTCTGCTTCTTTCACACTTCCTTTCCTGGCAGTTCTAGTACAGCATCTGCATATTAACCTCTCACAGAGCTCACAATAGAAACTCAAGATTTGAGACACAGCTATTGTCTCTCTCATTCACCTTTTCATTGTCTGGCTGCCAGCAGCCCGGGTTCAGAAACAATTATTATTAGGCAAAGAAACCAATTTAAAAAAAAGAGGAGGCGGGGCTTACTACATTCTAAGTTAAATACATAGCACGAGCGTCAGTGGATTAGGAACGATACCTCTGATCAAACTTGGATTAGATAGAGAGTTTTTTAAATGAACCCTTCCACATTTTTGTCTCGTAATATTTTGTTATTTATCACCATTTTTTCATATCACGTTCTGATTAAAACCCCTCTGACTAAACTTTTCTTTCCAAGGCACAATAAAAAAAAACAAAACTCCTTTTTCTGCTTTTTCCCGGAAGCAGGTGAATACAATTCACCCCCATGTGTGCTGTGCTGCCGTTGTAGCGATTTGGTCCTCCTGTAAATTAAAAAAGCAAAATACACTGCAATATAAACTGTAGCATCCATGTACACTGTAAAAAAACAAAACAAAACAACAAACCAAAATCAAATGTAAAACACAACATGTAGAAGAAATGATTATGCTGTGGATGAAGTTGGTTTGGATCATACCTGTCCTGTTGTGCTTCTTCTAATGGTCTGTATCAGTGCTGAACACCTCACCACATTCTGAAGTGTGTGGGAGAGAATCAGCGCGCCTGGATGGACTGCATTCAGCAGGAAACCTGACATACCGGCAAACACAAAACTCACTCGTTACCCCTTGCTATAACCCAAAAACCTGACCAGTATCACTATCTACCAACCCCTACACCTCGCTGAAACCAAAACACTCAGCCAGTACCACTATCCACCAACCTGCACTCTTTGCTGAGGCCCAAACACCCAACCAGCATCACTACACACCAATCCCAAACCCTCAATGAAACACAAACACCTGACCAGTACCACTACACACCACCCCAAACCCTCACTGAAACACAAACACCTGACCAGTACCACTACACACCAACCCTTGCTTAAACCCAAATACCAACCCCCAGTACCACTACACACCAACCCCTAACCCTTGCTGAAATCAAAACACCAACCCCAAACCAACCTACCTACCTACCAAACCCTCACTGAAACACAAACATCCAACCAGCACCACTACACACCAATCTGGAACCCAAATACCTGACCGGTACCACTACCCACCAACCCATAACCCTTGCTGCAACCCAAACAACCAGTCTGTAACACTTCCCACCAACTGCAAACCCTTGCTGAAACCCAAACACCTGACCCATAACATTACTCTCAAACCCCTAACCCTCACTGAAACCCAAACACCTGACCCTCAACACTATGCAACAACCCATAACTCTTGCTGAAACCCAAATGCATGATCTCTAACACTTCCCCCTAAACCTTGCTGATGTTGGAATGCTAATAGAAACTATATCAGCATTAGCTGAGGAAAATTATCGCTCACCTGCTGCGGGTGGGACTGTAGGCTCCAGCAAAGGACTTTTGGGATGTTGGTGTTACATCTCCATCCGCCTCACTCTCACTCCGCCCCAAATCTGCATTAGTGTGCCAGTTTGTCCCTCCGCTAGCTGTAGAGGACACTGCAACAGGACAAAGGTAGGAAGGATGGTGCAATGCTGATACAGGAAATTGGATTGCATATATGGTATAGAAATAAAATAATCCATTAGGATGGCGTTAGACGTGTCTCATAACCACACATACGTGTACACATGGTTGCAACACGGCTTATATAGTGATCTTTAAAATGTTAACGATTTCTGCACAGTTTTCCACAAGATTTTGGAGTGTGGCTGTGGGGGTGTGTGATCATTCAGCCACAAGAGTATAAGCGAGGTCAAGCACTGATGTTGGGTGAGGAGGCCTGGTGTTCAGTCAGCATTCCAGTTCATCCCAAAGGTGTTCAAAGGTGGAACAGGTTTGGACTCAGCACCCGTAGTTCCAGTGAAGTGAAATTGTAATGCTACAGAATACAAAGACATTGTATACAATTGTGTGGTTCTAAATTTGTGACAGCAGTTTGGGGAAGGTCCGCATATTGGTGTGATGGTCAGGTGTCCACATACTTTGGGCCATATATTGTGTTTATGTAACTAGTTACTGGCTAACCAAGTCATTAACAGTGTTTCAAATCATATAGCATGACTTAATACCTATATGTATTTATAAGGTTAGCCTGTAGTACTGATGTGTAAATGGGCTTGTGACTAAGCTCTTGGTCAGATTCACACACTGTTTTGTACTGAATCAGAAAGTTTTTAAAATTTAAACCATACCCAAGGTTATGGTAACCTAAGGTGAGTTATTAATTGAGAGTGATCCTTTTTATTAACAGCATTATTTCATACCTTATTTAATAAGCTTATTTTATAAAGTCATGGTAGCCAGTTACCAGGCTATCTGCCTATTTAGCTATTTATGTTCAGCTCTTCCAAAAGCAATACGCTGATCAGCCGTAACGTTATAGCCATCTGCCTAATATTGTGTAGGTCTCCCTTGTGCCTCCAAAAACAGCTCTGACCCTTCAAGGCATGAACTCTGCAAGACCTCTGATGGTGTGCTGTGGTATCTGGCACCAAAACGTTAGCAGCAGATAAGTAAGTTGAGGCCGCCACTGATCGGACTTGTTTGTACAACACATCCCACAGATGCTCAATCGGATTGAAATCTGGGGAATTTGGAGGCCAAGTGAATTCTTTGTCATGTTTCTCAAACCATTCCTGAACAATTTTTACAGTGTGGCAGGGTGCATTATCCTGCTGAAGGACGCCATTAGAAGAAGAAGTGAAGTGCCTTGTGGCCAACTATGGTGACCCATACTCGGAATTTGTGATCTGCATTTAACCCATCCAAGTACACACACACACACACACACACACACACCTGGGGAGCAGTTGGGGGTTCAGTGCCTCAGTCGTGGTATTAAGGGTGGAAGAGAGCGCTGGTCATTCACTCCCCCCACCTACAATCCCAGCCGGACCTGAGACTCGAACCCATGACCATCAGGTTCACCTTCGGGTTACAAGCCCAACTCTCTAACCATTGAGGCCACGACTGCCCCCTAATGTTTAGGTAGGTGGTACGTGTCAAAGTAACATCCACATGAATGCCAGGACCCAAGATTTCCCAGCAGAACATTGCCCAGAGCATCACACTGCCTCTGCCAGCTTGCCTTCTTCCTATAGTGCATCCTGGTGCCATCTCTTCCCCAGGTAAGCAACGCACACACAACTGGCTGTCCACATTATGTAAAAGAAAACATGAATCATCAGACCAGACCACCTTCTTCCATTGCTCCATGGTCCAGTTCCAGTAGGTCGAGTAGGTACTAACCACTGCATACCGGGAACATCCCACAAGACCTGCCATTTTGGAGATGCTCTGACCCAGTCGTCTAGCCATCACAATTGGGCCCTTGTCAAAGTCGCTCAGATCCTTATGCTTGCCCATTTTTCCTGCTTCCGACACATCAACTTCGAGAACTGACTGTTCACTTGCTGCCTAATATATCCCAACCCTTGACAGGTGCCATTGTAACAAGATAATCAATGTTATTCACTTCACCTTTCAGTGGTTTTAATGTTATGGCTGATCGGTGTATGTCTGTACAGACAAGTATCTGTAATAGCACCAAGTCCACACCAGACTACCTTCTAGACTATCTGGTTTTATCTTGCTAATTAAATTGACTGTGTTTGAACACTGTACACACTTTCTTGACTCATACATCAGCTATTTAGCAAAGAATTTTCTATCTGGGATACAGTTAAAGAGGATTTCAGTGGATGTTGTGTTACCTGATGAATAAGAGCTGGTCCTGCTAGATCTGCTAAATGGAGCTGGTAGCGTTTGATAGCCCAGATGATGTTGGTAGCCTCGGTCATATTCGTAGCCGTAGACTGGCCGCCGTCCTGCAGTGTTGCGGTTGTACCAGCCTCTCAGATGCTCTACCACTAATGCCTTCTGCATGCTTTTAGCCAAAAGTTCATTCCTGCTCCTTGGAGGTCTTAATGTTGCATAGGGATTGTGCACCATCCCGTAATTCTTGCTGCGCCCGTTTCCATGGTACCCGTGTGCGTGATATGAGGGGTTGACATTGTAGTGTCCTTCGAGTTCGTTCTCGTATACATAAGCACCATTAGCACTGGCATTACCGTAGGGCTCATAGTCAGCAGTGGCATACCCGGGTACATAATATGCAGCAGGGCTGTACGGTGTGCGAGGGTGAGTGTGTGTGTGAGCGTGAGTGTGTGTGTGGTGGGGCACCAGGTTTGGCATGCTGCCCGTGCTGTGTTGGTGATGGAGGGAGGAAGGGATGAGGTACGGAGGAGTGGAAGGACACGGTGGACCGAAATCGGCACTGGACACACTCGTGCATGATGAACAATCGTCCAGGACCTCGGTGCTGTTGCTGCGGCGACCTGGAAAAACGGATCTCTCCGAACCGGAATAACAGAGGAAATGAGACTGAGACTCCAGGCTTCCACTGCGATGCCGGAACGCGTGGGCTGGATCCTCAGACCTGCCAGTTTAATAAAGAGATTATACTGGGAATTTGCTTTGAAGGGGGCAGTAGCTGCTTAAATGACAAATTTCTTAATGTTTCTGTACCCGAGCTGGCTGCTGCTGTAGGCGTTACGGGTCATGGCGAGGGTCTGTGCGACGTTCTGGAGCTCTGCTTGCCTGCGAGGGATGGTTTTATACGGACTGCTGCTGGCCGAGGAGGCGTCATGAGAGGTGTAGTACAAACCAGACTGAACATCACACTCCAGTCTACAGGTACAAGGAGGAGACACAATAAAAAGGAGACATGTTTATAAAAAAAGAGGATGCATTCATAAAAGTTGGACACATCACAATGAGGACACACACCTGCTCAGCGCAGTGTCGTGGTGTGTGTCGCTCTCAGAGGATCGTCTCTGCGTATCGTAGTCCAGGCTGACCGGAGGAGGAGCATTGAGTAACGGAGAGCACTGCAGGGAGCGAGATCGCCTCCTCTGACTAACATCATCTACACACATACACACATGGCAGAACCAACACAACATTTGTAGCAAAAATGTTCCGTTTTTAGCAGGTTGCTAACTGTGCAGTGATACGGGCTGCTAAACTGAGTAGATAGTAGTTTATTCATAGGCATAGGGGTTGGTGATATGACAAAAATATCACATCACGATATTTCAAGACATTTCTACGATACATTTATACTGTAGATTTCCTAACAAACTGCCAGCAAGAGGGCAGTGTTGCATTTAAAAATAAACCTTTAAATAATTAGTTTGATGATATTTTTATTTAATGTCTACAAAACTAAGTTAGCACTGTGAAGGAGGAAGATTTTTAAAAAGCGGTAACATTTTTTGTCTGTTAAAAAAAAAATTGTAAAAACATTCAAAACAGTAGCAGCTTTGAGTTCATATTTATTATTTCCAAATAAATAAATAAAAAATCATGATAGTGTATTGTGATATAATTTATGACGATTACATTGGTATTGTATCGTCAGCTTGCCTAGCCCTAAGTAGCCATGATTTATTTATTTTTTTTATTCTTTTCAGTGACTCGAGTCATTTGAGTCTGTTCATTTAAATGATTCGTTCAGGTTCTTTCATCAGTCAGATCAGTTTGTGCAGACCAAAAAGCATTTGAGTTGTGTAAAATAACTAATAATCATTGATATTTTGACTGATTTTATAATGTGCTTGTATAATATATGTTTAGAAGAGTTATTTTTCAGCCCAATATAGACAACAATACTTTCATGTACCAGTTCATGGCTGTTTAAAAGCAACCCTGACAGATAAACATATATAAACCTATGTAAAATGTTTGATAATTATGAAGGCATTATGGATGTGTATAGAAATGTTAATTTTGCGGTTTAGGATACCAAATCAATACTGATTCGTTCACCTTAGTGACTCGTTCAAAAAGACAGAATTGTGTGCAAATTTAACTTAGCAATAATGCAGAACGTAAATGTGCTGCTAACTTAATTTGTGTTTATGGCATAGATGTATAGCTGCTACACAACATGCTAGTAGTGAAAATGTTCAGCATGTTGCTATGTGTCTGTAGTAGAAATGTTTAATATTTAGCACAAATATTTAGCCATTTGCTAAACTATTAAAACAGAAAAACATGGTGGTTAGAAAAACAATTAAAGTAAAACCTTTGTAGCAGTTACTTTACTGAATTTACAGAAGGCTAATCTGAATGTTTGTAACTGAAATGTTTAGCATGATTTAGCAGAAATTTTGCACTAAATGTAGCAGTAAAATGTCGTACTACTAAAAAAAAAATACTAGCAGAAATGTTTAGCAAACTGTTGAGGTAAATATTTTTCTTATAAAATAAATGCATGTTGCGAAAATGTTAGCAAAACTAAATTTCAGAATTTATGTGGCAGAAATCCTTTTTTAAAAAAAAAAAAAAAAAAAAAAAAGCAGGATTTTTAAATAAATATCGGTGGGGAAAACGTTTTCCAGGCTGCAAACTTAAACCATGTTAGCATGTGGAAATGTTTTACACTGCTAAAGTGAATGGTTGTAGCAGAAATGTTTTGTAAGCTGCTCAGGAAGATTAGAAGGGTGATGAATTTAATGCTTAAGGCTAAAAAGATTTGCGTTTAGCTGCTATAATAAACTTGCTGAAATGCTGAAGGCTGCTGAAATGACAGATTTTTCACTTTATTTTCTCACTTACTGTCATCCAGAGGAAGGCTGTCAGACAGCGAGCTGCATTCGGACTGACCCAGTTCTTCTGTAAAAGAGACAAAGATTTTGATATTAGTTATATATAGCAACGTGTATGTGTGTGTGTGTGTGCTTGTGCCTGTGTGAGCGTGCCTTTGGGGATTTACTAAACCTGAAGAGACATGTTAAGAACAGACAGCAGATATTTCAGCAAAACAAAATGTAAGAAAACTCCACGAGCATGCTTTAGGATAAATGCATCATGGGCATTTGCACGACATTCACTTTGCTTTAAGATGGATTTCTACGCTTCACGTTGTACATGGATTCAAAGATATTTTTATATTTATACCACAGCTCTGACGAATTCTGATTGTTGATTAATTGTCTATAACAGCAGCTCTGACAATAGTGCAGCTGCAAGTCATAGGTTTATATTAATGCACTCAATCTAGTACTTTATTATTTACAGTAACGTCTTACACAGGGGCTTGTATGGGGGATGCTCTTCATAATTTAAATCTCATAATAAACATTAATAATGTGCTGTTATTTAACAAAGAAACCTATCATTACTGGTATAATGACTTTATTTATTTATTATTTCTGGAAGGAGTCTCCAGTGTCAGTGCTTTGTCACAGTCAGAGGTAAAGCCCTAACTTTAACTTTGCCACCGCAGGAAAAGTCTTCAAGATGGAGGATGCTGTGATTTGCAAATTCTCTGTAAAAAGTTGCATTTTTTTTTTTTTGTCTTATTAAGAGAAATTATAGTAAAAGTAGTTCATAGCTGCTATAACGCAAGTGATAACAGGGACATTCCACAAAATGTAACTATAAACAGATAAAATGTAAGCTTGGTCATTCCAATTAATAAAAATTGTAATCATTTGCAAGTTGCTATGGTGTAAGAGAAATAAAACATTTTAGTAAGTGCTGTTATTATTGCAAAATAATCAACTAAATATTAACGGTAACTATACAATATAATATTAGCCAATATAAAAATATAGTATATTAAACAGGGTACAGATTCCATGTTCCAGATGTTTTCTCAGTTTGTGTTAGAATATGATATAAAATCTCAGCTTTCTCTTGAAGATCTTCACAGAGTGAGCTGGATCAGAAATAAAGTTGTTTGAAGGTGTGTGATATGATTCATGGAGCATGACAAAATGATCATTCTGTTGGTCATCTCTTAATGACTTACACCTGATAATGAACCTTTTGGATTTAAGCCCCATGCTGCTTTTGACCTTTGACCCCTCGGAACACTCCTCTGATCTTACCAGCGATGATCCGCGAGGCTCTCTGCGTGGGTCTCTTGCCCTTCTTCACACGGTAGCGGTTCATCTCATCCTCGA